ATGAAACCTTCCTTCCATTACAAAAAGAGAGTCCATTACATACATCCTGAAATACGAAACCTTATAGAATCATTAAGGTATGAAAAAAACTCCAGGATCATCTGGGCTAACCATCCCCCTACTACCACTGTCACCCACTAAACCACGTCCCTAAGCACCACATCCAACCTTTCCTTAAACGCCCGCCACCACCTCCCTGAGCAACCTGTCCCAGTGCCTGACTGCTCTTTCTGAGAGGAAATGTCTCCTCATTTCCAACTTGAACCTCTCCTGTCACAGCTTGAGGCCATTTCCTCGTGTCCTATCACTAGTTACCTGTGAGAAGAGGCTGACCCCCAGCTCCCCACACCTTCCTTTCAGGGAGCTGGAGAGAGCAATAAGGTTTCCCCTGAGCCTCCTCTTCTCCAGACTAAACAACCCCAGGTCCCTCAGCCACTCCTCACAGGACTTGTGTTCCAGGCCCTTCACCAGCTTCGTAGCCCTTCTCTTGACATATTCCAGGGCCTTGATGGCTTTCTTGTAGTGAGGGGCCCAAAACTGAACACAGTACTTGAGGTATGGCCTCACCACAGCAGAGTACAGGGGAATGATCACCTCCCTGGTCCTGCTGGCTGCCCTATTCCTAACACAAGCCAGAATGCCATTGGCCTTCTTGGCCACCTGGGCACACTGCTGGCTCATTTTCAGGTGAGCATCGACCAACACCCCCAGAGCCTCTTCCTTTGCACAGCTTACCAGCCACTCTGCCCCAGGCCTGTAGCACTGCATGGGGTTGTTTTGGCCAAAGTGCAGGACCCAGCACTTAGCCATGTGAACCTCATCCCACTGGCCTCTGCCCATAAACCCAACCTGTCCAGGTCCCTCTGCAGTTCCACTGCTGGACCTTGTTTAATATAAACCTACAAAATGTTTAATTTAAGCATTTTCCTGCGGATATTTGAGATGAGGGCAAAAGATCTGAGACTGTTATGAAAAAATATCAGAAACAGTGACATAAAAAATACCAAAAAGATGCATGTGCATAGCAGGATGAAGACCTGTTTTTCAAAGTTTCATTTTTGTTAAGAGAAGAATTCTATGTATTTCAGCACATACAACCATGTTTACAATACAAAGTTTTATTATACCCAATCACTCTTGTAAACATACCAGAGTAAGGCTGAAGCACTCGACAGAAAACATCAGCAAACTCGTAAGAGTGGGAAAGGCAGTTCTGACACCACAGTTTTGATTTAATCTGCAGCAAGTAAACGACCCTGCCATCATCCTGCAACATGGGTGCTTCATTCCCTGATAAACTCATGGAAGAAAAATCCACTGAGTGCTCTTAATTTTAAAATACCTATGTCTGCATCAAGATATCTCCAAGTCACAGATCACAGGAGTCAGAAGAGGATAGTTGGAAAAGCAACACTTCTGCTCTCTTCTGCCCACTGTGCTCTCCTCACCTGTTCCGCAGGCACACTGCTACCAGCCAGAAAGAAGCCACGGTCTGCACTATTTTCGACATGTAACAATCAGTTTTCAGCTTTTCTTCAAAAATTATTGCTGTTTATCTGAGATGCTTGAGTTCTGGAGAAGTCTCAGTGCCTACATGGGCTACTGGTGGGATGCCATTAAAGAGCGTGACAAAAACGACTAGTCACAGACTGTGACCAAAAAAATTCCCCAACCCTAACATGAAATGGAAAACAAATTAATATTCTATATCTAGCCACAACAGCAGAGACTAATCAGGCAGTTAGTCTATTAGTAAAATCACAAGGTTTCACTCCAGCAGCTCTGACGCAGTAATGGGTTTTCCCATGAAAACTTGAAAGAAAAGGTGAAAAAAGATTTGTGAAGCATGATGGAAAGGAATGTCAGACACAGCTTTGGTCAAACTTGCCCATTAAATATTCACCCATTACTCCCCAGGTTCATTCACAGGCCAATTGAACTGGCTATTTACTGCTGTTTGCTATTTTTCAATTTTCTAAGCTTACTAAAAATTCCTTTAAAAAAAAAAAAAAGCTTGCGAAACAAAACAAAACAAAAAAGCTAAATGTTGATAGTTTGTTTTCTCTTCACAGTACACTTTTTGTTTTTCTGATTATATATGTTCTGTCACTAAGCTGGTATAAAATTACTCACAATAAGTCCTATTATTTTAATTTCATACTAAAAAAAATGACTAATGATGTCCTTTTTCTTCAGCCATTTGGACTAATTCCATGTGAAATCAATTAAAATTATTTTTTTGAGGAACAAGAGCAGCCCTAGCTCTTTGTAGAGAGATATACTAGTGTACTTGTAGTCTTTTACTACACTTTTACTATCATATTATACATAATGTCTAAAAAAACAACATTGCAATTACATATTTAAGCACTAGATAACACACAAAAGATAAAGGTGTACAATTTTTGTTTACTTACAAAAGATAAAGTCTTAGGAAACAGTATGTATTTATCTCTAATTTTACTAACTGTTCTATCTGTGCCTTTGAAGGAGTATAAGGAAAAAATGGAAACCAAGAAGGAGGTAAACAGAAATCAAGTAATTAATTACTGCACTGCTGAAAAAAGTGCTTTGATGAACTAGACACAAGATCTATCGGTTCATAGGCTAACAATCTTTCCAACAAGTAGCACATATGGCTCATAAAACAAAAAAGTCTACCTCTTTAAACATCATTTGTTTTTAGTATGTTTTTTTCATTTACAATTCATCTAACACTGCCATTTGAAACAAAAAGAAAACTAAAGAAAAAGCCAGAGATACAAACAATAGAAAGATCTTGAAGAACCATTTGATTTTAGAACACCACGTATAGTAGTTTTTCTTCTTTTAGATTTAGGTTGATTTATTTAACTGTGTTTTTCTTAGATGTGTTGAAGTTAGAAGCTAGGCAGTGATTATTAATTTAGGCAGGTATTATTAATGTGAGCTCACTGAAAACTATGCCATAACATCAGCATTTATAGGTATCAATTCTTCATCTATTTCCATTATTTTCATTTGATCTATTATATTCAAAGCAGGAGAATGTCAGTCTTAAATATTATAACTACAAAGAAAAACAGCAGCACTAAAACTCCATAGGCAAAAATAATTTAATACAGTCTTAAAAGGTACTATATAATTATCAAACACCTATATATTATTTGTATATATTATTCATATACTATATAATAATATAGTATATAGTATATGTATTATATCATATATTATATATCATATTTATTTATTTATTTATTTATTTGTATATAAATTTACAGTACAATTATGAACCTCCTGAGATTTCTATACATACTTAAATTTTTACTACGCAAGTGGCCCCTGATGAAGTTACTCATGGGCCCGTAATTTTGCCTTTCCAACAATTTTCTACTGCTGGTTCTCAGCTCTGTGTCTCTTCCACATTTTGAAGCAAGAGAACTTTATCTCACACTTCTCAGAAAAAACAGTAGCAGTATCTTCTGGACTCTCCCACTGCATTATCCACCCCAGCAAGTTAACAGACCTTCTATTTCAAAGCAAATCTTAAACCTTGATGTAACCTTTCTGTACACTATTACTGATTTCACCACCACCAAATGAAGACGCTATCATGGTGCTTAGCTATAAGGCCTCCATATTCATTGTGAATGGAGCTCCTTAGGTTATTTTGTTTCTTGTGCACTGCACCAGAATAGAAGAGCTGCCACAAAAATCTGCCTCCCTCACTTTATCTTGTGTAGTTTGTTTTCTTCGATCTGTCAAGGAGTTTCAGTGGGAATACTGACTCATTCACTTATTTCTCCCCCCAGAAAACAGTTATAAACACTTGCTTATGATACCTGTATCAGAAAACAAACAAACAACAACAAAATCAAAACCCACACCTGAAACAATCAATCAAAACAAATACACAATCAAAACAAATCAGAATCTTCCATCAGAAACCTGTACAAGTTGAGGATTGGTATGTTCCACAGGAGGAAAATTTAAAATCCAGTTTATGTTATCTTTGGAGAAATTCCCTAGTACTGAATAAAAATTGCAGTGTAGTATGAAACCTATATATAGAATATATCTGTTTAAAATAGAAATATGCCTTCTCCAGAAAACCACATGCTTTCTGCTTTACCATGAGTTCTTCATTGTTTGATTTGCAAGACTACTATCACAGAAATGATGGATATAAAAAATTCATCCATAAGTAGAATTCACTTTAGGAGCAAATTTAGAAGAGAAAATTAGACTTGATAGAAAAGTATACATAAATGTAAATTCTGTCTAAATGAGTTCAAAGCACAAGGATCTTTGGTGTGCTGTGCTAGGAAGGACTACTGTGCTCAAGAGGTGAGTTAAGAAAAGTGCAGGATAGAACAGTATACTGCAACACTACAACATGATAAAGATTTGACTAGTTGCCAGACTCTAATAGCTAATGGGAATGTCTCATAGTTAAGCAACTGCAATGCTGTTTGAGTGTCTACCACTACTGAATGTTATAATCTATATGTTTACTTTTTTACACTGCAAGGAAGGAACTTTTTCAACTATGACATTAAACTTTTTCCTTCTGTACAAGGGAATACTTCTGCTTACTGAAATGCATACTATAGCAGCCATAAGTTTCAGGGACAAACAGCATTGCTTGTCATCACAAAATTGTACTTCATCATGAGAACTGGGGGAATGAACAGCATAAATGTGTATGTCAGAATTTTAAGATTTGTGCCTCACTTCCCAGCTCTGGAATGGTGCAGCGCAATCATTTAGCAATACACTAGTAACACCAAACCGGAGGTCTCTTAGTGTTTAAAGACCTTGTGTTGTTTCTATTTAATTATTTAAGTGCAAAAATAGCACTCTACCTGTAGTCATAGTTCTCTTAAAAATGGAGGAAAAAAATAATTAGAATAGTAGTAGAAAGTCACTGTGTCTAAGGTAAGAAAAAAAAAAAAAAAAGCATATGAATATGATTTCATTCATATTTGGAATAGTGGATAGAAGAAAACTGAAATAAATACCGCATCTGTAACTTCTATCTCGTACAACTTCTGAAATGTCTCCCGATCAAAGAAGAACAGCTTCCCACTGCCACCACCTTTCTTAACAGAGGTACCTGTGACAAGTATTTTATCATCTGGGCTAAAACAGCAATCAGTCCTGTTGGAAAAAAACAAAAAAACAAAAAAACATTATATTGGGCAAATCAGTAATTAATGTATATTTAATTTATAGATTACAATCCTTACAAATAATCTTTTCTATTTGTTAATCCTTTCAACACAAAGTTTAAAAACAACTTTTATCTGCTGTCATCTATTACTATAGTTATCAGACAGTTCACAATTACAATTACAGCTGTGCTCAGAATACGAAAAACTGGCAAAAACAATAAAAATATAAAAATCCTCCTCCCAACAAAATTTCTTTTCCTCTCCAAATTCATGTGAACTTTTCACATAGGAAAAAAAAAATAATCATTTTAAATCTGGTTACAATCATTCATAAGAAATAAAACAATCTTGAAATCTGTTTTTGCTGATGATACGTTCTTCAGTGCTGCACGGCAGTTGTGTTTATATAGTTGCCAAAAATGTTTGTGTGTTTACTCTTCCTATATGCTACAAAACAGAGTGAGTGCTTGTGACTTCAAATTTGACCTCCCTAAGCTTTCTTTCTAAGATCTTATTTTGAAATTGTATATTGTCTTTAGAGTGTCTCTAGAGTTCTAGAGAGGACTGTGCTACAGGTACAGAAGTATAGATAATACCTTTAAAAATATTATCACAATACTTAACAATATATGGTACTACACCATACTTTAGTACCAAATAACAGTAATCAGCAATTCTAACATCATAACTTGAATTTAGACAATACACCTTTATGTTATGTCTACTTTTCAATCCAGATTTTTCTTTTAATTAATCATAGACCAAATAGGAATGAGGCTTACTTGATATATCTCATTACACAAACATAAGGCAATGAACTGGCCTCCTCCTAAAAGTTTCTAATCTAATTAGGCATAAGATATATGAGACTAAAATATGGCATAAACCAAGCAAAGATAGATAAGAATTATCACATGAAATAGGAGATATTTTAAAGCAATGTTAAGCCGTAAAATAGCCAAGAACCTTATTGCACAGTCTCCTATGTGTAGTTCTTTGTGTACTATCCTGTACCTATTGAGAAACATCTCCAGTATACTCCCCCCTGCTCAGCACAACTACCGCTGTTTATTCTAGCTGGAAAAAATTAACAGTACTTACATTGGAAAGAAGCTGGACAGTCTTTCAGCTGAATGAAGAGGCTTTTTAAATTGCCTTATATCCCACATCTTTAAAGTATCATCCCCTATGTAACAAAAGGAACAAAGGTTAGCAAGAAAGAATTTAAGCCAAGAATCTAGACATCTGCAGAAAAATTTCATCTTCTAACTCAGATACAGGAAAAGGAACAGAATGATGTAGAAAAATTCAAAATGGGGATGGTTTGGAAGCTTTTTGTGCCCAAATGACTATGAAAATGCAAGGATGAAAAATTCCACCTGCTGCACTCCAGTAGATCAGAAACTTCTGCTCAATGATTCAGCCCTATCGCAGCAATCCTGCCTGCTAAGAACCATTACCCACAGTGGAATCAGATTCCCCAAACACCATTTAATGCTGTTTGTGTGTTTTGGTGCTTTACTATTAGAAGGAAATTTAACTTTGCTGAATACATATATATATATATATATATATATATATATATATATATATATATATATATATATATATATATATAAATGTTATCACAGGTGGACTAGATCAAAAGATAAACAAGCTTTATGTGTCTGGTTTCTACCTGCACTGGAAAAATGATAAGGAAGGACAGAAGACACGAGAAGCCTTCCTGCTTCTTTGGCATGCAAACAGAAACAAACTGCAACTTCAGTATGAAGAATGGGCCCCGGAATCAGCCAGAAGTCCTGGCGTAATGGGTAGAAGGGAAGCAAATGAATCCATGCTTGCTGTAATGAAACCTTTTCACACCCTTCCACAACACCTTTGGCCATAAAAGCCAAAGTTGAGGTTACAGCAAGACATTTATAGCTATTCTCATCTGTGTTTGATAAACATGGTGTGACTCCGTAGGCCAGTAAAAGTCAGGCTGTTTATTCCTTTTCCAAAAGTTATGACATATTAACACAGTGAGTACCAGGAAGAAAAAACAAAAAAAAAAAGGAAAAAAAGGAAAAAAAATGGGGGGGGTGGAGAAAAAAGTTTAGTTAGTTATTCTCAGAGAGATCTACATCTCTGCTAACCTTCCCCCTGGGATACATATTTTCTGCATGAGAATTTGAGCCCTGAGGCACCTCTTGCAGACACCTAGACATCTTTTTGTATTCTACATCAGTGCCTCAGTGATTTCAAGGGCAAAAAGAAGGACTTTCAAACAATTCTCCTTGAAAACATCCAGAGATTAATTTCAGAAAAAAAGTTACAAAATATTCCTGACCTAACTGGTGAGCAGGAAAGTGATTAGCAATCCATGGACCTGCTTCCTTGCAACACTCAAACCTTGCAAGGAAATATTTTTTATTTTTAAATCATCTAGTACTCTGTGTGTTCCCAACCTTTGAGATTAAGAGCCCAAAGCAAAGCTTGGAAATAAAATGCAAAAATAGATAAAATAAATAAAAAAAATACACAAATGTATCATGCCATAACAAAAGAAATCAAGGACAGCAGTACCTTTCATAGGGAAAGCAGTAATGTGTGGCCTCATGTATCACGTATGTTTATATTAAAGACCAGGATAATGCCTAACTACAAAATATTTCTAAGAAGTGGACAACTTAAATAAATGATGCCCAGGACACAATATATTTCTTTTCATTGCAAAACTAAAAAATGACAAGAATGAAAAATGTTGCCTCCCTATTTTGGGAATATCTGTTTTCTTATTGTTTCATAGTAGACACCACCCCGAGCACTTCAAAGCATTTGGTCTTGTAATGTGAGCCCTCCTTTTTCCCCTCCTACCCTGAACAAAAAAAAAAATACACTTATTGTCTAGATGTTATATCTAGAGCACCAGCACTTTATAAATGTACGCAAATGATACCATTTGGCTGCTCTGCAAATCTCTTGCACAGGGACAGATCTAAGGCTAGCAGCCAAGGCTGTTCTGTTCCCAGTGGAATGAGCCTTGACATGATCTTCAAGCTGTAGCCCTGCCAGGCTTTAGCAGGAGAGATGCAGTGAGACATTTAGATACAGCTCTCCTTCTAAGAAGAAAGTGTATTCTGCTGGTTTAAAAAATCACAAGACTCCAGAAGGACTCAAGGAGTTTTCGATGATTTCAAATCAGCATTGTCTTAAATGGTGCAGAAATAGTTGATTAAGTACTTGGAAAGGGAGGAATACTCATAGAGTAACTTGGCCAATGCTGTGAAACTCTTACCATCTTTAATAATACGAGATTTCCAAAGTTCATCTTTAAATTCAAATTTACTGTGCAGTAAAAATGATACTTCTGCCTGAAATTAATTTGCTTTGAGTTGAAACCACTGCTACTAAGAAAGCAGACAATATCAATATGCCACAATACCATTTTTTTGTATTAGCAACCTTCCATCAATGCTTAATGAGTTTCTTTATGAGAGCAGTAGTAGTACTGACCTATTTTTAGCTACTTCACGTGTAGTCAAAGTAATTATCCTTAAACAAAAATACATAAAGTTGAGAGGTGTGGAGTTCAGTATAAAGTATTCAAAATAACCCACTCTTAGATCATTCAGTATTTTTCTTGATGGCAGACTTGGCACAATCTTTAAAAATGTTATTGCATTTTTAATAGCATTTCAAAGCCTATTTTTTGCCATTTTAATTAGAAGGATACCAATCTAGTATGATATAAACAGGCCAGACACCATTATGTCCATGGTATCGAGGAATGGATTTATCAAGAGGAAACAAGTAGGTCCTAGAAAGAATCTCTGGTGAGCCAGGATAGGCATTTTGCACTTGACTTTTAGTCAAAGTAAGGTCAGTGCACTGAGACTACAAAGATTTTTATTTCTTAGTTTTTCTCAGAAGATAATGACCAGGAAGACAATTAAATGGATGCAAATGCACCCCAAAGAAGTAAAAACACTGCCAAAGTAAAGCACCGTCAGAGGTTCAAAAATTCTAAAGTCGGCAACACCCTTCAAGAAGCTCCTATTTTAAGAGGGAGTCCTGTGTTGAAAGCAAAGCTCAAGGACAAAGATCACTGGGGAAAGCAATGAAACAAAGGAAATGAGATTTTAAAAAGCAAAATAGAGCAAAGGAAAGACATAGCACAACATGACTTACTGTGAGGAAGTATCAGAATACATTATGTTTATAAACTCAGAACCTTTCTATGAAGGCTGATACTACAGGCATCATGAGGCACCTTAGAGAGCAAGGTATGTGCTTCTGCATTCTGCTCTGGTTCAGCACAAGGAACTGCAACAGTTCAAGAACAGCCCTCTGAGGCACCACAGGTCAGTATCACACTCACCCTGAGCCAAAGGACTTGGGAGAAGGAATCCTGCACTTATGCTTGGAATAGCTCTCACCATCACTCGAGCCACACCAACCTGGATCTCTTATATAAACTGATTTTTCCACGTAAGTTTACTGACAAACCAACAGACAAATAACTATCATGAGGTTCATGAAATTAATGAAATCATTGTTTCTTATTATTCTAAAAGTGGATTCTGACCAGACCAGGAGTCAAAAATTACTTTTACAATAGGACCCCAAATCGTATGGCTGAACAAAGGAAACATTCACATACCTTTACTGTATGTAGAAAAAAATACTTCCACAGTTACAAGTGTGTCAAAATATCACGTTCTTAAGTTTCTGTCAAGTTACTACCTAATACCCAACAAAAATAAGACTGGGAACTCTCATAAGCATCTCCTTAACTTTTCATTTTCCCTTGTGCGTGCAGCTGAGCCCTGCCTCATCTCTCTCATATCTGACACTGAATCTACATCAGATGCAGGAGAGTCCATCAGGCTTTCAATGAAAGTCCCCATTCCCCAAACGGCTATCCTCTCTTTGATCCTCAGCACTTGGCAGGTGTGTTAATCTATGAATGCTGGATCTACATCTGCTTTTACTGGTACAGATCCAAAGTAATACTCACATTAGAGCACTAACCAAACAAGTAAAAATAAGGTATGAATCCTTATTCTTCAACACAGCATACAGGAATTAAAATAAAACAAAACCAAACAAACAAAAAAGCCATGAGACAACTGTAGCTCTTGTAACCACATTAAGGGGCCTGTACAGTCTTATATTCTGCAAACTATCAAGTTCTTATACAGTTTATACCAGAGTGAGGTAGAAAGAGCATAAGTAAGTTGAAGTTGGTTTAATATAACACAAAACCTGGAGACAGATGAAGAGCAGGCAAGCAACTGCCACAAGCAATTAAAATATGCAAAGGTCATTTCTGTTATCTCCATTCATAAATACAAAATATAAGAGAATTTACATACACTGAGGTTTCAGAACAACTCTACTGAATATTCCTCACATTAGTATTATTCTTGTTTGCTGTGGATATTTAAAAGGCACACCAGTGTTTTTTAAAGTCATTTCAAGTACGCTTGTGTGGATTTTGTGGTGGCAACACCACTGGCAGGCAGAAGCAGCATTTTACGTGGCTCGGAATAGATAGACAGATGGTCCTTACTAAACTGAATACTTGCTATGTGAGAACCTTCTCCTTCTTGGAAAGTAGGTGAACCAGCAGGGTTGAGACATTTTACCTCAACCACTTATGGAGTACCAGGAGCCTGAACAGCAATCAGAAAACAATCTAAGCACCAGTAACATGTCCTAGTAAGCCTAGGGCTCTTAAGGACAAGCCTACCATCATTTTACTCTGCAAAATGGGATCTGGGGAACATAAATGTTTGGAATTATAGAAACATACAAAGAAATGAGGTAAGTAACATCCAATAGCAGCTGCATATTCGTGTAAAAGCCACCAGTGCCACTCTGTTCATCAGGGACAGGGCAAGGGGAAAGACACAAAGCACTTGCAAGCTACTCCCCTCAGCTTGAAATACAAGCTCCTCTTTCAGAGAGTTTACAATCTATGAATACCTGTCTCATGGTATTTTGTATAAAAAAAATCTCATTCTGTCTACATACCAAACTGACCAGATGTTATGTACATATGTTAGGCATAATACTGAGGCTACATTAACATACGCTGCCTCTCCCTAGGCCTGTTTATTTGGCCTTGAGGCCATGCTAATGCTTACACATAGCTCCTGGTTGCAGCTGGTTTCCATCCAGTCAGCTCGGACTGTATGCTTGCACCTGCCTGCAAAATGCTGCATACACAAATCCCTACCTGAAAAGCTATCTTAAACAGACACCATCCTAACTAACACATCTAATAATGGAGTGAATGAGTCTTCATAAATGTCTTTGCCTTCTCAAGGCTTGTTCTGTTCTATTAAGAGACTTTTATAAAAAAGTTTTACCTGAAGTTTAAAGAACTTTTTTTGGCTTCTTTCCATTCAAGTACAAATTGGCCTTTTATCTCCACTCATCAACGCTTGATACTTATAATTTTAACTACATAAAAATTTCAATTAGAACATACAAGTACACTGCATTAGAAACCTGCTTGAGAAATTAATAACTCTACAACAGATACACTCTTACTGAGAGGCAGTAACCTTAACAGAAAGAACTATATAATGAAATTTTTCTTAATTCTTATTTAAGCTAATAACTTCCCTTTTGGTGAATTGTCAATGCTAGGCAACAAGACAGATCAGGAACTATATGACATAAACTACAAAGTTCTCTTAAAATGTTCCTTAAATGCTGTGAAATGCACTTTCAGGAACACATTAAGGCACGGTGTATCAAAACAAAAGATGTAGACTGTGAAACACTTCGGGTTTATATCTGATTTTACTATCTTACCTCAATCATAAATAAATTACATTTAGAAATGGTATGATTTAAATGTTTGGGTTTTTTTACCGAACCACATTAAGACTGTCTTACATTAAACACATCAAAGGGTTCTTTGAGTCACTTACCTCCCCGACTGGCAAGGGCAGTACCATCATAGGAAAATGCCAAGCAAGAAGTGTCAGTGCCTGGAGCATGGGCTTGCCTGCAGTGGAACTTCGTATGTACCTGTTTGTCAAACAAATGAAACATCAAAAATCTTGCTTATTTCAAGACTGGGCAAACATTTCTTTATAGCATTTTGTGTATTTGCTGCTATTCCTAAATGTAAACAGAAAACCCTGCAACTTTAGCATTAACAGGTACTGAAGTTACTAATTTCTACAGCCTTTTTAAAAAGTCGTATAGGCTTTATATGGTCAGAATAGGCTTTCACAATAAGTGCTTGAAAGAAAAATACAAATTTTGCATAGATTCAAGTATACAGAATAGCATCAGAGCTACCAGAATACTCCTACTACCACTAAATAAATGTGGTTAGGCCTGGTTAAGATAAATATACATTTTAAGACAGTTCTTGTCACCCATCTAAGCAGGCTTATTGTTTAAACAAACAAACAAAAAATGTGATATACATACTTTGGAGAGGACTTAAAAGAAGTATAAGAAGAGGTTGGACATAGTGTTTAGGGACATGGTTTGACATCGGGTGGGTGACATTGGTAGTAGGATTTGGACCAGATAATCTTGGAAGTCTTTTCTGACCCTAATGATTTATGATTCTATAATTTAGTTTTGCTGGATTTCAACCATGCCAAAATTAATAGTTTATAGATTAGAAAAAAGCTTGGATATGCTGAGGTTTGTGTTCCATTGTGCTAGCTGAAACAGAATTCAAGGTTGGGAATCATTTATGTTTATTTTTAAGTGTATTTCCCTGGTTATTTTACAAGAAGACATCACTTTCAAATTAGACCTTATTCTTGTATAAAAATCAGTTTTAGTTTATTAAGTCGCAATTTAGTAAAATTCTTAAAAATTCTCTCTGTTCAAATGGGAGAAATCTGTGAAATCTCAAGTTAAATTTTAGCACTTCTGCAAAATTCAGCTTTCCCACTTCCCAACCAAACCAAAGGTCTTGGCTTTGATACCAAGATGTCCTTTCATAAGGCATCTTGCTGGTTAATTCAACTGTTAGTCACTGTTGCCTCAGTCATTACATATGTTATCTTCAATCACTGATGGAGACCACACCACACATGCCTGCTGTGTGAGGGTGACCAGTCACATTCCCCACCAGAGACAGAGAACTTCAGCAAGACTGACTAACAGGTGATAAAACGGGACAGCCAGGTAAAGGACGGAGTGATCTAATTTATTGCACAGAAGTGAAACCAGTGGCAGGGTGAGATTAATCTGTGGCTAGGAGTCCACTGAGTCCACACTAGCAATGAAGATGAAAGGCAAACTTGTTGCTGACATGGACAGGTTACAAATAAATTGTTGAAAGGAGTACTAAGTCCCACTGAAAGAGTGACAGTGAAGTGAAATAGAAGAATGCAGAAAGGGAAAAAAATAATGGAGAGAGGAAACAGCAAAGCCTTGTAGAATATCACAGAACACAGCAGATGTGGCAAGAAGCTACAAGACAGGGATGGAGCACTGTAAAGGAAAACTGGACGTCACTAGGTGAACAGGCATGAAGAATATTTCAGTAAATGGAGAAATTCTGAGATGAATAAGGAGCCCCAAAGAGCTATGGGATAAAGCAAGTAACCTAGACGGGATTAATTGGAACCACGTGGGCATTTAGGAGTGAAGAGGGAAGTGGGACAAAGAGGAAGACAAGGAAGAATCAAAATGGAAACATGAAGGGAAAATAGAAGAGGAAAAGACTCAAAGGAATTTGAGACAGTTAAGTCCTTCTTGAACACGTAGGAAATTACACTTCTCTTTTGCTCTCTTTTCCTAGCAAAACGAATTCTTACAGCTTTAAAATGAGACATTCAAGAATTTCACGTTGCGTCTGCAACCTTATCTCACCTTCCCATCTGTAAGTTAGAGATTAAAGTATGCTCTTCCTCTCATGGAGAAAAAGGACTTGGAAGTCCTTTATTTACCATACTGATGAGCAAAACAGGAAAATATAGAGAAGAATGTATTTTTAGAGAAAGGTTTGAACAGTTTGCAGTCAGACCTAGAACTGTTCCCTGAACGCTGACAGGACAAAATAATGAGCATTTGCAATTACTACCCACTAGATATATTAAAAGATCCCCAGTTCTACAGAATGAAAAAGAAGACTGTGATCACATAATTCAAATGCACAGAGAGACTGATTTATGTTTGCACAGGAATCCTCAGTTACTTCATCTTCTAAGTTTTGACTAGGTAACTTAACTAAGGCTCCTTTAATGGGTTATTTTGTATGCAAAAGACAAAATGTAAAGTAATTAATATTGTTAATTGCTAGTAAAGTAATTAATATTGTTTACCCTTTCAAATATCTGTTCTGAATTTGGTCCAAAATCTAGAGAATCTTTCTGTTATGACATTAATAATGACGGAAAGCTTATTTTGATGTGCAGATTTAATTCAGTTTTCAGAGGAGTCATATAAGGCATTCATTCCACAAATGACTCTTCAACAAACAAAGGAGGACTTCGCACATGAAGCAAATGCTTCTTTCAGTATTTGGAGATAGAACACTATCGCCTGTATTTAACTACAGCGCTTGTTTTGAAATTAGTGTCTCTTTGAGCCAATTGCACATATTCTGGAGAAACTCTATGAACAGATTGCAATTTACAACTGCAAGTCTATGTTGGGGTGTTTATAAATACTAAGAAACATATTTTATGCATCCAATTACAGAAAATTTTCCAAATACATGGTAACATATAGAGGATAAACTGTGAATTAGTTATCAGAAAATAAAATTTCTGTACTATTTGCTAAACATTGACAAGCAATTAAAATGATGTATATTCATCTAAGAAATACCATAGACACTTGCATAAACATGATAAATTATTAATATTCACACCTAAAAAAACAGACAGAAAGATTACAATATGGTATTTATCTATTTAAATGAATTGAAAAAAACTTTGTTTGCACTATACACCACTTGTCAACCCACTGTGACAATGTCACATTGACACACATGTTAAAATAACTTCTTGTTTTTCCCCCTCATTTTACTGCAACTTTAATACAACGTCTTATGTGGTTCTTTGTTTGTTTGTTTGTTTTCCCAATATAAATTAAAATAAAGAAAAATATTTTGGAACCAACCAAATACTTTTCTTTGATGCCTTACCAGTGGGTGTGGGTGTGCATATTTAGGAAGTGAATATATAGGGTACTGTCCCTCTGCCACCACATCATGTTCTGAGAGTTTTGTATCTCCCTACTTCTACCTCTCTACATTTAACCAATTCTTGCTCTTTTGCTGCTGTTCCATAGAAAACAGAAAAACAGCAACACACTGATATTCAAGACTCAGATATTATTTGTCCCTTTATCCAAAACTGAAATCAATCGATCAACTGTATCTAAACTCTAGACATTTACATGTATGTAATGCAAGACTCATCTGTAAAAGACAGTAAGATTGCATCAGCAATTCAGTTTATCTTTAAAAATCAATTTGCACAGTTTACCACTGAAAAGATTGTTTTCCTAACTTTGAGCTCTGCAAGTTTGTCCTCCATATATTACTGTGCAAAGAAATATAACCCTGAATTGTAATACTAAATCAAATATTTTAAAATGATTGAAGGTTGCTCTAAAAATGAGAGAAGGTTGAACAAGAAGTTTTAATATACACTGGCAAGTGTTCTTTGCAGTTTTCAAAGAAAATTATGTGTTTGGCCTCTGGCCTCTTAACATATTTAACAGATGTCTAATCTTGCTAACAAATCATTAGCAAAAAAATTGTTATCAGAATGTTTCTTGCTGGAAAGACATGAAACAACACAACTAATGTACACATTTCAGACGTTTGATTCAGGAAGGGAAGGAAAGAGCACTGAAACACTAGATAAAGCTGTGAAGATAACTAGGGCAAAGTGTATTCACATTTCTCCTTCCCTTTTGTGGCAGAAATACCCGCTATTATAGAGTATTACTCCAGTGCCTTACAAAATTTGACACGTTCATCGATCCTTAATTTTTTTTTTTTAAGGTTTACCCATTTCAGCAAATTCTGTAATAATAAACCCTGTCTTTTGCTTGTTTGAAACCTTTCTACAGAATAACTCCAGCAATGCAAGCACTCTCTAGCTTTATATTAGCACATATATTTTTGTAAGCAATTACAGCTGACTGGACTTGTATGCAACATGAATTGACAGGCAGAAAACATGAAGCACATGTGAGAAGGCAGTTGCAAGAATCAAGAAAGCTAGGATAACTGCTAAATATGAGAATTTGCAATACTGTTACAGTCCTCACAGAGACGATGAGAACCAGAAAATAAATGGAAGCCAGAGAAAGGACAGAAAAAAAATGAAAACAAAAACAAAACGAAAACTACATGAATGGAGCATCAGTAATGAATATCCTTTCTACAAAACTCTGGGTGGGTTGATGAGGAACAATATGAGAAACAAAGACAGCAGTGGCCACACAACGTGTCTATCGCAGAATAATGACCTATAACAGAGCTGCTCTGCATCACACTAACTGTTCTCCTTTCCCAGCATCCCATATATGACATGTTCTATGAAAAGCAGAAGACCGACCTGGTCAGTTTATTTACCCCAGAAATCCAAGCCACGTCCATTAGATACATCAACACTCTTAACTAAAGAAATTTTTGAACTATCCACATTGTTTTGAGGATCTAGTATTTCAGAGGAAGCCAACACTTCCCCAAGATTGCATGTTTCCCACACACACTTTTGTTTTTCCTTAATGAAGCAATGGTTTCCGTCTTGTTACTAACATCTTCAAGATATTATTAAAAGCAGAGGCAGTAAATCAAGATAGGAATTGGGGACAATGAGACCTACAAAGTATCATCATGCTTCTGCTATATAAATATTTCTCTGTATTTACAAAAATTTACTCATTACTGGAAACACAATCAACTCTTCTACTAATATCCCACTTACAGTCAAAGAAACTGTCCAACACTGAGTGTGTCATTAACAACATGCAATCTACTACTCAGGTTTGTTTCAGCACATGGAAGGTTTCTGAACCAGGAAGCTCATTTCCAG